CCATCTTTTCCTCCAACAGTGGACGCGTTCAAGATCTCCTTTTCCTCCTCTTTTACTTAACATGTTTATGGCTTCTTTCATCATCTCCTTCCCCTCCCCCTCTTTCTCCTTCTCCTCCATTGACCATATTCAAGTCCTTAATCTTCCTTTAGAAGTCCTTCTCTTGTTCTTAAACCACCTCGCCCCCACTTGGAACTTTTAAGCTTCTTTAGGGCCATTCAGACCTTTCCAACTTGTTTAGGTCGCCATAATTAAGGTAAGGATCGAGTACGTACAGTGCTCTGTCCTGCCCACTTTTACCGAGATGCTCCCAAGACAAATAAAATGATGGCATCTGGGACTATATCGCATCTAAGTACCCTCAGTTATTGTTCTTACGCTGGAGACGACAGTAAGTACAAGTAATTTATTTATCAAAGTTAATATGATCTTAATATTTACCCCTTTAACTTTAAGTACACAACACGTACATGGAATGGCAGGATGAATATATAAACCAATTAGGAACACTGTAGCAATTTCCGTTCTCGAATTATGAATCTGGAACATTTATACGGCGGGTGATGACCTTTGTCTCGAGAAACACGGCAGTCAGTAGAGTTGTATGGTGGATAGGAAAAGGGTCGTGGTGAATAAGAGGGTCAAAGAGGTTTAGTGACGGGTATACAGATAAATGAAATATAAAACAAATTTAAAAAAGACAAATAGACAGAAATGTATTAATAGTTATATTTTAAATGAAAAGACAGATAATGCAACAAATAGAATTACTGCATATAGTAGATAAACCAATGTACTGTTCTCCTCATCCTAACTTTCTAACTTCCCACATCCCAGCCTCGCCGCCCATGCTCTGCCCTCCCACACCCGCCTTTGCCGCCCCACCCACCTCACATTCACCCACCCCTACTGCCCCGCCTACTTAACACCCATCCACCCACCCACCTCACATTCACCCCTGTCGCCTCGCCCACCTCACACCTACCCTTGCCCACACCTCCACCCCACACCCACACATCTCCTCAAAGACCTTCCCTCCCACACACTCTGTCCCTCCCACACACTCTGTCCCTCCCACACACTCTGTCCTACGTCAGGCCTAATGCGAAACTTTTCCATGGACCATTAAGTCTCTTTGCCATTCCAGGACTGAATTACACTCACGCACCGCTAAAGCCTCGTTCCTATTCCAGGACCAGTCTACACTCATCTATTTCCAGAGTCGTTCCCATTCCAAGTTGCTCTTTAACCCGTCCAGTTCTAGTCTCTGCTTCATATTTCAGGACTTCTCTACACTCTCCCATTTCCAGTATCCTATTTTTTCCCCTTCCAGAATCACCCTTCACTCATTCATTTCCAGCGGATCTTTATCATTCCAGGACTGAAATACATTCACCCGTTTCCAGACTGTTGTTCTTATTCCGTCTTCGAGTCTTGTCAATTCCAGAACCCGCCACCAGTCACCTATTTCTAGTTTGATTCCCATTCCCGCTTCCAGAATTTTTTTACCATTCCTGGAACCACCACCATTCATTTCTAGCTTCATTCCCATTCCCATTTCCGTTTTCAGAGTTCCTCACTACACTCCAGGACCTGCCTCCGTTCACTCATATACAGAGACAATGGATGCCAGATGAAGGGCAGATGGCTGGACTGGACCGTAAAAGAACGCCACCATACGGGGGAAAATGTAATTATGAGATCTTTGAGCGCTATAATTGGCCAACATAGAAGACAAAAGAGGAAATTCCCAGTTGCTGCTCAAGGGTCAACTGGTGAATATGTCAGAACTTAGCTTTGATACGTTCACACATCATCTTTTTAAGTGGAAAAATTTAACTTACGAGTCTCCGAGAATTTACTACCCCGGAAGCTATCAGAAACTTTGATGGGTTCTCACGTCACCTGATACGAGGAAAATTTGACTTGGGAACGACCGAGAATTTGACCCCTGGAAGCTATCAGAAGATTTGATTCGTTCTCATGTCACCTGCTGCGAGGAAAATTTAATGTACGAATCTGAAAACCAATACCTACACATGTCATACAAGGAGGTGTTGCTGTAGCCGTGTTGTGACGACTTAACTTTGTGGGCAGTGTTGGTGATAATAACTGTGACGAAGTTGTTCCTTGTATATGTAAACAAGGTTAGCTGGGCTGTTACTGCTTGTCTTGGGAGTTAACCTGCTGTCTCTCTCTCTCTCTCTCTCTCTCTCTCTCTCTCTCTCTCTCTCTCTCTCTCTCTCTCTCTCTCTCTCTCTCTCTCTCTCTCTCTCTCTCTCTCTCTCTCTCTCTTTATTTCCGTTTATCTCTCATTTTCGAATATTTCTTCATATATATATATATATATATATATATATATATATATATATATATATATATATATATATATATATATATATATATATATATATATATATATATATATATATATATATATATATATTAAGTTTCACTGTCAATTCACTGATCTAATTAAGTCCTCAAACACAATATGGAACAAATTAAACAGGAAAATAAGGACAAGATCCCTATACACACACACACACACACACACACACACACACACACACACACACACACACACACACACACACACACACACACACACAGAACAATCGGTACAAAATGGAATTTTTTTCCTCTTATAACTTTCTGTTGATCATTAAGGCTGAATTGTGGCTTTGGATGGGAAGGGGAGGGGGTGGGGGGAGAAAGGAGGGGATAGGTAGGGGGAAAGAGGAATGGGGAGGGAGGGGAAGGAAGGAGGAGGAGGAGGGTGGTGTTGGGAGGGGGTTATGGAAGTGGAGGGAAACAAAGAGAGAAAGAACAGAGGAATAGGAAAGAAATAAGAGAGGTGGAGGAGGAGGAAGGAAAATGGGAGAGAAAATGTAGGAAGGGAAATGAGCGATGGAAGAGAAGAGGAGGAAAAAAAATATTAGGAAGAGAGAAGAGGTAGAAGGAGGGAAAATAGGAGAGTGGAGGAAAAGGAGAGGAAAAGAAGAAAAAGGGATATAGACTTAGAAGATTTTAGAAAAGAAGGAATAAAAATAGTGAGTCAGTCAGAATGAAGAAATGAACACAGAAGAAAACAAAAGAATGAAAAAGAGACTGAGGGAACGAAAAAAATATAAGAACAAAGAAAAAAATAAAATGCAGAAAAAGAAATACAAAAATTAACGAAAGAAACAAAATGACATAAAAAGGAATTAATGAACGAAAAGGGCGAGAGAATATAATTGACACCTGGCCAATTTTCTACCTAATTAAGAAGCTACATCTTGACCATATAATTACCCCATTCCTTACTTTTTTATTAATGAGAAGATCTTCAAAGGAAAACCACGCGGAAATCCCTACCCCTCCCCCCCTGCCCCCTCTACTCCATCCCTCCTAACACCTGCTTTGGGGTTAATTCTTGTATCTTAATTACCTGCGTTGATCAAAGGGTTGTGTGGCTTGTACACCTGTTCAGACTTTTTGGGTTTGTGGTAGTTTTTTTTTTTTGTATTTTATATTTGCCTTGATTTTATTATTATTATCTTATTATTATTATTATTATTATTTTTAGCACGAGAATCACACACACACACACACACACACACACACACACACACACACACACACACACACACACACACACACACACACACACACACACACACACACACACACACACACACACACACACACACACACACACATACACACACACACACACATACACACATGGCGTACGTTAATGAGTGATGTGTCAGGGTATAGGTCCTCTCCTGTGCCTTGTGGTTAGCTCTTAGGATACTTTGTTGTTGTGGTCACAGAATTCTTATGTTGGTGGGTTCGGCTTTGTGCCTGTGTTTCTGTCTTATAATTTCTCTATTTTCTTTCTCTGTTTATCTGTCTTTTTGTTTGATTCAGTATCTGTAGTTTTCTTTCTTTCTTTCTTTCTTTCTTTCTTTCTTTTTTCTTTCTATTTTTGCTTTGTTTGCTTGTTTACTTGTTTCATTCTCTTATCTTTTATTGTTTCCCTCTTTCTCTGCATATATCTGCCTGTTTCTTTATTCTCTTCCTTCCCATTTCCTCATCATTACCTGATTTTTCCCCTCTTCTCCCCTCCTTTCTACCTTCCTGCTTTCTCTTCCCTTAGTTCTGTGTTTTTCTTTCTCTCTCTTTTGCCACCCTGCTCTAGCTTCCTCTCTTCTTTAATTCCCACCTCTCACCATCTCATTCTTCTCCCGCTGCTACCCGTCTCCCTCCCCCTCCTCCTCAACACAGGCTCGCGTCACTACACATCATTTGGTGATAGAAGTAAAGAATTGATTCCAGACAATTTTTACACTAAAATATTGTTGTTGATCTTGATAGTGGAATATTTTATTTGTGTGTGTGTGTGTGTGTGTGTGTGTGTGTGTGTGTGTTTGTGTGTGTGTGTGTGTGTGTCAATTAGAGTATGTAAGTTAAGTAAACCCCATAATGAAAAAAAAACACTGCTTACAATAAGTGTATACGCTTGATACTGTACAATTAAATTCTGTGACATTATCTTGATCGAGTGTCTCCCTGGTGTGACGTCACCTGTGTTTGTCTCAGCGTCAAAACTTATGAACAGAAGACTGTGGAGTCAACAGTCAAGCGATACACACTCTGGTGTGAAGGTAACATAAGGCCTCTTGACTAGACTCGTCTCAACCAGGAACTAACTTATGGTTATGGGAATAAAGACATTATGTGTTTACTGAATCACCAGTAAAGTAATTGCGCGCTCGTCTCCTGTCCTAAAGGTCGGTGGCTGGTAGCCAGGGCTCCCTCAGTCCACCCAGCTGTGACTGGGTGCCTAACTGTAATGTTCGATAAAGTGGAGACGACAGAGTGCAGTACCCGCCACGTTGCCTCCTTATGTACTCTACAGTATGCTGTATCCACATTGCTCCTACTAAAACCTTAGAATCACTATAACAGGAAGATAGACCTTAAGTGTAGATACTGAGGGCTGTACTCACCTCAGCGAAGGGTCCCTGGTACTGCTGACCCACATTGCCGTAGCCCCAATTAGGTCCTGCCTCAGGGCGGAATCTGTCGAAGAAGAGAAGAAAATATTGGTTAATCATAGCCTTTGTTTCCTTGTGGGTTGGTGGCTTGATTTTAATGTTTCTTCATGTGCCAGATGCTGGGTTAATGCTGTTACCTCCTATGAAAGAGAGTACATTGCTATTATAAGTTGTTTACCTGTTGATCATTTAAAGTGGAGTACATATTGTTTTTGTTATTTGTTTACATGATAATAGTGTAGTGGGTTCCCTACTTGTTTACATAATAATAGTGTAGTGGGTTCCCTACTTGTTTACATTATAATAGTGTAGTGGGTTCCCTACTTGTTTGCATTATAATAGTGTAGTGGGTTCCCTACTTGTTTACATTATAATAGTGTAGTGGGTTCCCTACTTGTTTACATAATAATAGTGTAGTGGGTTCCCTACTTGTTTACATAATAATAGTGTAGTGGGTTCCCTACTTGTTTACATTATAATAGTGTAGTGGGTTCCCTACTTGTTTGCATTATAATAGTGTAGTGGGTTCCCTACTTGTTTACATAATAATAGTGTAGTGGGTTCCCTACTTGTAGTGTAGTGGGTTCATAATAATAGTGTAGTGGGTTCCCTATTTGTTTACATAATAATAGTGTAGTGGGTTCCCTATTTGTTTACATAATAATAGTGTAGTGGGTTCCCTACTTGTTTACATAATAATAGTGTAGTGGGTTCCTACTTGTTTACATTATAATAGTGTAGTGGGTTCTACTTGTTTACATTATAATAGTGTAGTGGGTTCCCTACTTGTTTACATTATAATAGTGTAGTGGGTTCCCTACTTGTTTACATTATAATAGTGTAGTGGGTTCCCTACTTGTTTACATTATAATAGTGTAGTGGGTTCCCTACTTGTTTACATTATAATAGTGTAGTGGGTTCCCTACTTGTTTACATTATAATAGTGTAGTGGGTTGCCTGTACTCAGTATTGTCAGGCAGTGGAAGCTCTTACCGTTGAATGTGTTTTAAAGGGGGCAGCATTGTGTAATTCTTTAACGTTAAGGTCCTCGTCTGTCTATTGATCAAGGTTATTTATTTGTACCTTACTGACGTGTTTTTGTTATCGTCTGCCGCTGTTGTGTATTGTCATTGCTGTGTGTGTTTGTTTTGCTTATAGTTTTATTGTCCTGTTCATCGTGTTCTGTGCCGTACTGCAATCTTCTCTGGATGGCTTGTAGGTTTATAACTTTACCAGTTGGGTGTAATAATACTAATCCTAATACTAATACTAATAATACTAGTAATAACAGTAACAAGAACAGCAGTAACAACAATAAAATACTACTACTACTCCTACCAAAATAATAATAATATTAGAATAATAATAACAGCAATAATAATAATAATAATAATAATAATAATAATAATAATAATAATAATAATAATAATAATAATAATAATAATAATAATAATAATAATAATAATAATAATACAATTAGCGTTACACAAGACACTGGATTATTACACCTCAGTGTTGTCTTGAGAGCTGCTGGGTTAATTTCATTACTGGTTCATCGTTACGGCCAGATGCCCCCACTAATTGCTGATATAAAGGTCTCTTACATAAGGTGCGAGAGTGTGGCCAATTAGCACAGTTTGTTATATACTTCAAGAAGACGATTCCTAACGTGAACGACTCCTAACTTTCCAGTCTCTTGTTCAACCTGTCCGTTTGTACGTTGATCGGTCAAGTGTGTGTTTGTGCTAATGGTCCTCAGCCAAACCAAATTAACCTGACCTGACACCCAAACTTAACCTTATGAAACTTAACCTAACCTTATATGACCTAACAACCTTATCTAACCTAACCTTATATGACCTAACAACCTTATCTAACCTAACCTTATATGACCTAACAACCTTATTTAACCTAACCTTATATGACCTAACAACCTTATCTAACCTAACCGTATATGACCTAACAACCTTATCTAACCTAACCTTATATGACCTAACAACCTTATCTAACCTAACCTTATATGACCTAACAACCTTATCTAACCTAACCTTATATGACCTAACAACCTTATTTAACCTAACCGTATATGACCTAACAACCTTATCTAACCTAACCTTATATGACCTAACAACCTTATCTAACCTAACCTTATATGACCTAACAACCTTATCTAACCTAACCGTATATGACCTAACAACCTTATCTAACCTAACCTTATATGACCTAACAACCTTATCTAACCTAACCTTATATGACCTAACAACCTTATCTAACCTAACCTTATATGACCTAACAACCTTATCTAACCTAACCTTATATGACCTAACAACTTTATTTAACCTAACCGTATATGACCTAACAACCTTATCTAACCTAACCTTATATGACCTAACAACCTTATCTAACCTAACCTTATATGACCTAAAAACCTTATCTAACCTAACTTAACCTAACCTTATATGACCTAACGTAACCTAACCTAACTTAACCTTATATGACCTAACCTAAACTAACCTAACCATTATGAAGGCCATGACACGAAGGGTACTTGAAACTCAGCCAGAAAATTGCTTCCCTCACGACCTGGAACGTTTTTGTTAACATACTCTATACATTATCTCATTATTTTCATCAGGGGGAGTGTGGGTGGTTCGAGGATATATCGCGTGTTCGACTTTGCGTGAATGTTTACTCCTGGTGGTGTTGTTTTTTTTTGACATGTTAGATGATGGTGGTGATAAGTTATCCTCTTTATCTTCCTGTATAAGAGAACGGAGATGATATTTGGGTGTTTACTCTGTCAGTCAGTCAGTCAGTATACTGTACACAAATTTTTCTGTCTTTGAGTTTCGATATCTTTGTCTGTCTATCTATCTGTCTATCTGTCTATTAGTACGTTTGCCTATACTTACCCTACGATTCTCTCTCTCTCTCTCTCTCTCTCTCTCTCTCTCTCTCTCTGCCTCCTGAGTGTCATGGCTCCCTTGAGACTAGCCGGGTGTCCAAGGACCAGTTTCATGAGATTAGGTGGAGGCGAGGGTGTCCATTCTATCAGTTGTTTTTTATAGTGTGTGTTTGGTGGCTAGTCGTAACGATCCCTTGTGCTAATAGCCCCTAACCTGACCTGACCTGACTTGACCTAACCTGACTTAACCTGAAATGACCTAACCTGACCTGACCTAACTTAACCTAATCTATTCTAACCTAAACGTTGTGACTAGGTCCCTGATGGATTCCGGTTTTTTTTAACACTAGTCTTAATGGGTCCCAGTCCTAATGGGTCCCAGTCTTTATGAGCCCCTAGTCCAAATTGGCCTCAATCATTATTAGCCCCAGGAAGGGATGGAAGAACTTAAGTGGAGCATAACTAGCACAAGGACCCCATATGTTCTTGGGATGGAAGAACTTAAGTGGAGCATAACTAGCACAAGGACCCCATATGTTCTAGGGATGGAAGAACTTAAGTGGAGCATAACTAGCACAAGGACCCCATATGTTCTAGGGATGGAAGAACTTAAGTGGAGCATAACTAGCACAAGGACCCCATATGTTCTAGGGATGGAAGAACTTAAGTGGAGCATAACTAGCACAAGGACCCCATATGTTCTAGGGATAGAAGAACTTAAGTGGAGCATAACTAGCACAAGGACCCCATATGTTCTAGGGATGGAAGAATTTAAGTGGAGCATAACTAGCACAAGGACCCCATATGTTCTAGGGATGGCAGAACTTAAGTGGAGCATAACTAGCACAAGGACCCCATATGTTCTAGGGATGGAAGAATTTAAGTGGAGAATAACTAGGACAAGGACCCCATATGTTCTACGGATGGCAGAACTTAAGTGGAGCATAACTAGCACAAGGACCCCATATGTTCAAGGGATGGAAGAACTTAAGTGGAGCATAACTAGCACAAGGACCCCATATGTTCTAGGGATGGCAGAACTTAAGTGGAGCATAACTAACACAAGGCCCCCATATGTTCTAGGGATGGAAGAACTTAAGTGGACCATAACTAGCACAAGGACCCCATATGTTTTAGAGATGGCAGAACTTAAGTGGAGCATAACTAGCACAAGGACCCCATATGTTCTAGGGATGGAAGAACTTAAGTGGAGCATAACTAGCACAAGGACCCCATATGTTCTAGGGATGGAAGAACTTAAGTGGAGCATAACTAGCACAAGGACCCCATATGTTCTAGGGATGGAAGAACTTAAGTGGAGCATAACTAGCACAAGGACCCCAGACCCCATATGTTCTAGGGATGGAAGAATTTAAGTGGAGCATAACTAGCACAAGGACCCTATATGTTCTAGGGATGGAAGAACTTATGGAGCATAATCAGCACAAGGACCCCTATATGTTCTAGGATGGAAGAACTTAAGTGGAGCATAACTAGCACATGACCCCATATGTTCTAGGGATGAAGAACCTATGGAGCATAACTAGCACAAGGACCCCATATGTTCTAGGGATGGATAACTTAAGTGGAGCATAACTAGCACAAGGACCCCATATGTTCTCGGGATGGCAGAACTTAAGTGGAGCATAACTAGCACAAGGACCCCTATATGTTTTAGGATGGCAGAACTTAAGTGGAGCATAACTAGCACAAGGACCCCATGTTCAGGATGGAAGAACTTAAGTGGAGCCTATATGTTCTAGGGATGGAAGAATAAGTGGAGCATAACTAGCACAAGGACCCCATATGTTCTAGGGATGGAAGAACTTAAGTGGAGCATAACTAGCACAAGGACCCCATATGTTCTAGGGATGGAAGAACTTAAGTGGAGCATAACTAGCACAAGGACCCCATATGTTCTAGGGATAGAAGAACTTAAGTGGAGCATAACTAACACAAGGACCCCATATGTTCTAGGGATGGAAGAAATTAAGTGGACATAACTAGTACAAGGACCCCATATGTTCTAGGGATGGAAGAAATTAAGTGGAGCATAACTAGCACAAGGACCCCATATGTTCTAGGGATAGAAGAACTTAAGTGGAGCATAACTAGTACAAGGACCCCATATGTTCTAGGGATGGAAGAAATTAAGTGGAGCATAACTAGTACAAGGACCCCATATGTTCTAGGGATGGAAGAAATTAAGTGGAGCATAACTAGCACAAGGACCCCATATGTTCTAGGGATAGAAGAACTTAAGTGGAGCATAACAAGTACAAGGACCCCATATGTTCTAGGGATGGAAGAAATTAAGTGGAGCACAACTAGCACAAGGACCCCATATGTTCTACAGTCTTGTGTTTATTTACTTGATGAGACAGGGGGAAGGAGCCATCAACGTTGTGGTTCTTTGTGTACACCCTGGCGAGAGAGAGGCGGTGTGTTGGGGCATATTTTGATCAGTGTTGACATACAGCAGGGAGCGAGTGATGCCTTATATCGGTTTCTTGTTTACTTACATTCAAGGAGAGTGTGTGTGTGTGTGTGTGTGTGTGTGTGTGTGTGTGTGTGTGTGTGTGTGTGTGTGTGTGTGTGTGTCTGTCTGTCTGTCTGTCTGTTAAATATAAAGTAATAAACACTTATAACGAATAATGGTAGTTCTTTACACACACACACACACACACACACACACACACACACACCAACTTTCATTTCTCAATTTTTCCCGCTCGCTCTTGTTATGAATACAAGATCTTTATCCCGTGTTTGTTATGAATCTTAACACCAACCATTTCTCCTGTTATGAATATATACACTGGGAGGTAAACCGCTTCGCTCCCTGTGTGTAACCTGGCGTGTTTTTGAATATCGGAATTTTTTCATAATATGGATTAGATTTTATGCTTAGGTCTTATACTGATGTGAGAATATGTAGAAATGGGCTCTAATGTTAACAGGCCACTTTTTGATAGACCCATTTTTGATAGGTTACAGTTTTTATTGGTCCCAGAATTAATAGGCCCCAGGCGTAATAGGTCCCAGTATTAATAGGCCCCAGTCTTAATAGGTCCCAGTCTTAATAGGTCCCAGAGTTAATAAGCCCCAGTTTTATAGTCCTCAGTCATAATAAGTCCTAGTCATAATAGGTCCCAGTCTTAATAGGCCCCATTCTTAATAGGCGTCAGATTTAATAGGCTACAGTCTTATTTGGACAAATTTTCAGGCCCTCAGTTTAAATAGTCCCCATTTTTTACTGGGTAAGAACCAAACCTAATCTAATCTTACATAATCATTACGATTGGGGTCCCAGTCCTAAGGGGCTTCCAATCCTAATGGGTACCAGTTCTTAGTTACCTTTGGGGTCTATTAAGAGTGGGGCCCGTCTGACCTAGAGCAAGAGGTTATGAGGCTCATGTGAGGTCATGCCACACTCACCAGTCGTAACTCACAAACTGCTTCACTCACCAGTCGTAACTCACAAACTCCTTCACTCACCAGTCGTAACTCACAAACTCCTTCACTCACCAGTCGTAACTCACAAACTCCTTCACTCACCAGTCGTAACTCACAAACTCCTTCACTCACCAGTCATAACTCACAATCTCCTTTACTCACCAGTCGTAACTCACAAACTCCTTCAGAGAAAGTTTTAGTTATTATTAAGACGGTGTAAGGGTGTCTTGTTGTGTGTGTGTGTTTGTTTGTGTGTATAAGAGAGAGAGAGAGAGAGAGGGGGGGGGGGGGTTGTCATAGGTCTTGCTTGCTGTGTTATGGAAAGTGCTATGCTATATACACGTGTAATATTCATACTGGACTAACATATGCACAAACACATATGTCTAATTTGTATGTATGCATGTATGTGTATATTTAAATCATATGCTCACTTTTCATATTTTTTGTTTCTTTTAATCTGTTTTCTTCTTCCCCCTTCCTTAGTTTTTCTCATTTCTCCTCTTCCCTCTCTTTTCTTGTCTCACCCCCCTCTCCTTCTTTTCCTCCTCCTCTTCCTCTATATCCTCTTCCTCCTCCCTCCTCTTTTCCCCCCGATCAACGTCAGAGAGTAGATAAGGGTCTGGCATATCTGCTGAGAGTTACACAGCGCTTATATCAACACTCACCCACTTAATAGGACAGTCAATAAACCTCCCACTTACCCGTACAGTTAGAAAACAAGTCAGCCAGTTAACGGGATAGTAAAAAAGCCAGTTAACCAGTCTGCCACTCTACAGGCTAATCAGACAGTGAGTTAACATGTCTGCCGGTTGACAAGACATCCAGAGAGTCAACAGAACAACTATGCACTTTGATGGTTAATCGGTTAACCAGCCATTGAGAAAGACAAACAGACAGACAAACAGTCAATCAGCCAACTATTCAACCAGTCAGCCAACTATGCAACCAGTCAGCCAACTATTCAACCAGTCAACCAGTTACCTACCAAGAGACCAATCTGTGAAATATTCCAGTCATCCAGAACGGAGGTACTTGACATGCATAGCTCCTCCTTGGCCATCACCCACCTCCAGCTGGGGGTGAGGGGCAGGAGGAGGAGAGGAAGGGTGTGAGGAGGGAGAGGGAGAGAAGCAGGGTACGAGGAGAGAAAGGGTGTGAGAAGGGGGAGAGAAGGGAGAGGAAGCAGGGTAGGAGGGAGGGGATGGGTGATGATGAGGGGAGGGGGAGGAGGAGAGGCAGGGTGGGAGAGAAGGGGTGGAGAAGTAGAGGCAAGATGAGGGGTGGTGGGGGAGGGGTTTAGGAGGGAGTAAAGGGAGAGGAAAGGAGGGGTAAAGGGGAGAGAATAAGCACTGCCTCTCCAATCCTCCCTACTTGTTCCTCTCCCATCTCTCCCCTCTCCTTCTCGACACCTCCTCCTCCCTCCACTCTTCCCTCTCCTCCTCGCTATCTCTTCCCCCTCACTCCCCTCTCCCCTTTACTCCCCACAGAACTCCCAGCGACATCGTTCGCTCTGGGTCATAGAGTTGATAAACTAAGTTACCAATATGCTGTGTGGGATAACTGTCACTCCCACTCTCAGCACTCCCCAAAGCTCATCTTCCCTCTCTCCCCACTCCAATCCTTACTCTCCTCAACATTCTCCCCCCCTCTCTTCCCACTCCCCACCTTCTCAACTCTCCTCAACCTCATCTTCCCTCTCTCCCCACTCCAATCCTTTTCAACTCTCCCCAACATTCTCCCCCTCTCTTCCACTCCCCAACCCCTCCACAACCTCTTCTTCCCTCTCTCCTCCAATCCTTCTCAACTCTCCTCAACCTCATCTTCCTCTCTCCCCTCCAATCCTTTTCAACTCTCCTCAACCTCATCTTCCCTCTCCCCCCACTCCCCAGCTCAACTCCCCAACCCCATCTTCCCTCTCATCCCACTCTTTACCATCATCTCAACTCTTCCCACTCACCAGTCTCCCCTGTCTACGCTCACTCGCTCAAGACCTCCCAGCCTCATTAATATTACGGGACGACCAGAGCTTGTAGGGAGGGCGGTGGGGTTGATGATGATGACCCGATGTTTCCTATAGACACTGTTTGGGATGTACTCCTGACTCTCTCTCTCTCTCTCTCTCTCTCTCTCTCTCTCTCTCTCTCTCTCTCTCTCTCTCTCTCTCTCTCTCTCTCAGCTGAAGATGATAACACCTTTGGCATGATGGAGTCATTTACCGCTGGATGCTGTGAGATTTGCTTGACAATACCTCTCTCATTACCTCCCAGTTCTCCCTCAGAATCCTTCTCTCCCTTCTGTCCGCCGCCCACTCTCATTCACGCCCACGTTCATGCCAGCTTCACTAGCTCAAGGTGACCGAAGGGTGGGAGATGATAGAGCTATTTACCTGTAAGTGGCAAGTGAAATACACCTGTGACCTGATTCTTATAACTGCCTATGTTATTTTCTGGTTCCCTTAACTGAGGATTTGGTAACATTAATATGGATGTCGAAATTTACACTTAAACTGTTGTAACTGTTTATCGGATTTACAAGTTAGAACAAAACGTTCATGGACGCGTCTAAGAACCATTTAGAATTTATGTCTATCGTAGTTTAAGTTGATCAGTCAAACGTTCCCGTAGTAATAGTTAGGGTGAAATGTAATGTATGGTTCACTGATGATTCATGTTTGTGTTATGATTCTTTGGGAATTCCTCTTTGTGTCCGGCTGAAGTGAGCAAGAATCTGTAATCTGGTCAATGTACATGCAAGAGTCCTGCAGCAGAAGGACCTTATCTCAGGAACACGTGGATCCCTGCTGCAGACCTTCCCCAGGGGCGTGAGGGAAATTTTCACAATTACCAGAACTTTATAAGAGATCACAGGCAATACCTTGGGATTCAAAACATTTTTAGAGAAAACGGAGAACTTGTCA